ACTTTTCAGAAACAGAAACTATATAAAACATACAATAAAAAATTTTTTCAAAGCAACTTGTGTAAAAAATAATAATAATATAACTCTGTAAAAGTGATATCTCACTTGGTGAATATCCCAGTGATAAATGTGAAATTATAAATGCAAATGCTTCCACACCCAAGTGTGGAATCTCTATAAATCAGTGACAATATTCCATATACATTCCAAAAAAACAAACAAAATAGTGCCCATCTATATTGTAAAAATAAGTGGCGAAAGAGTGATTAAAGTGGATTGCATATGCTGGATTTATCGGGCTATTGGGAACTCAGCGTTTTTTGACTCTCTGTTTCAGGACTTGTTCACACGATGTTCTGGTCCAGATCTGGAGACGCGGTGCTATGCATGCAGTGCATTTTTGACACGTTTTTGACACGTTCGTGCATTTCCGGCCCGGGCAAAATGTGACATGCAGTATTTTTTTCTGTCCGGACCAGAACGAACTGCGCTCGTGAGAACTGTAGCCCTTAAAACACATAAGGATACATTGGGATGCATTTTGGGCGCATGAGCGCACGGTTCTGGTCCGGACAGAATCTGGACGTCGTGTGAACAAGCCCTTAAGGTGCCCACACACCTGCTGATTATCGTACGATAATCGCGGGAAAACCTGCGATCGTACGATAATCGTCAGGTGTATGGAAGGCGTGCGACCGTTTCTACTGTACGGTCGCACGTATTTTGTCTTACGAGCATGGCCTGCTCGTAAGACAAAATACCAGAACAATCTGATTGGGTGCAGGCATTGTTCAGGTATTTTGACAGCCAGCGGGGCCGACTGGCAAGATACTGAAGCTTGGCCCAGTGGGAGATTCCTCCATCCACACAGTTTAGCGTAGATGGAGGAATCTGTTGCACTGTTTCCATCTGATCATAGAAAATCTGCAGATAATCACTGGGTGTATGGCCAGCTTTAGGCCTCTGCGGAATTCCTGCCCCGAGAATCTGCGGATTCTTGCAGCAGTAATCCCAGGTGTGCCTGTTCAGATGCCGCTGCTGTGTCCATTCAAGTTAATGACAGGGTGACATCAATGACATCAGCAGCATCTGTCCGTGACTGTCCGCATTTAATCATACGTGGTATGATTACCTGCAGATCGGGAGAGATGCTTTTTCTTGAAGACTCTCTGCAAGTTTCATTTACATTTTGACTGCAGGTCCTTCTATGTAATACATAGCAATTCTGATAAATTTGTGACTGGTAACAGCAGCAGGGGAAGCAGCGGCAGGGGAAGAGGAACAGGATGTAGGAATTACTTTGTTGAAGTTCTTAGGATGTATCTTCTATGGGTAGAGTACTGAAGTGGCGAAAGAGACACTGCCGCCATGTCCATGCAGGACACAGTGACAGCGGGTTAGCAAAGTGTCCATCCAGCCCCAGTTATACTCTCCTTATCAGCAATCCTTTACAGTCCCTGCCTCCGAGGAAATCTGAGGTGTCCTCTGTGTAGGAGGCTAGGGGGAGTAGTGATGTTACCCCCTACATGACAGTGGTTGAGTCCAGCAATTGGCATCTAGACCTGATCCTTGACAATGGAGGAGGTCATATGGCAGCTTTGAGTGGTGACGGAGAGCTTATAGGGAGAGTATAACTGAGGTGGGGGTGGAGGGTGAGCCTTTAAAAAAAAAACACATACAGGGTTATTCGCACAAGGGTGAAGAGTTTGGAGAAGGCAGGAGAAGTGAACAATCTAGGGCAACATAGCTGATCTGGAAAGTGAGGTGAATTGGATAATCAACTATTTTGTCCTATATTGTTCACTTCTCCGGCCTTCTCCAAACTCTTCATCCTTTTGTGAATAACCCTGATAGTCACTTCGTGCTTAATGGGCATGGTGACAATGTCTCTTTAGGAAATTACAAAAGGTTTTGCCCATTAGACATTGCTCTGCTCCATACAGGGTATACAGACGCATGAACTGAAGTGGTTACATTTCACAAAGCTTTTACAATTTACAATTCCCCGTACAAGTTGTTTTCAACTTTATGCTCAATTCTGAGTGACAAAATAATTGAAACCAATGTGCAATATGATGAAAAATAGCCTTTGAGAGGCACTGCCATGGTTTCTATCAATTCCCACTGTCATATGGTTCAGTGGTTTGGATGCTGTAAACGAGGAATCAAAGCAAACATTGGTTGGCAGATTGCCAGGATTAAAGCTGATGGAACATTGAAAAGGAACTCCAGACAGATGAAAAAGTAATACCAAGTAATTTGTTTGTGTATTTATTAGATAATAAAACAAAGAAAGAACAATCACTAGTAGCCAATCAGACTCTGCTGCAAAGCACATGTGCTGACTAGGAGTATGCTGAGAGTAGAAGAGAGCTGATTGAGCAGAAGTATAACTTTATAAAATATGCTGCATCTTTTTAATTTGTCAATCAGCAGACTGGAGGTATGTTTTTGACCAAGCAGCGCTTCTACTGCACTGGAGGTCAGAGACCTGGCAATTATTAATATTATTATTATACAGGATTTATATAGCGCAAGCAGTTTGCGCAGCACTTTACAATATAAGGAAGACATTACAATCACAATACAATTCAAGACACAATGGTAAGGAGGGCCCTGCCCCTGAGGTCTTACAGTCTAATACAATCTACAATCTATATTCTATTCCAGGAGTGGGCAACCTAGGCACTGTAATTAAACAACTCCCATGAGGCATTGCAAAACTCTGACAGCCACAGGCATGACTCCCAGTGGCCGAGGCCACTATTCCCTGCTCTGTAGCGCTTAGGCCTCATTCACAGGAAAAAAGGCCGGCATGTACAGCACCGTGCTGTGTGCACGGCTGTATCGGGCAGCGCCCGGGAAGGACAGGTGCTGTGTGTGATTAGTACTCAGCCCCTGTCCTTCTCTATGAGTATGCGGCCATATGCCGCCCTACGCTCACCCGTCCTGCACGTCCGTGCGGGTGTGGGTGTCCGTACTCGTACGCTTACAGGATGGATCCTGTCTGCGTCCCAACCGGGACACCCGTACAGACCTGCACTTGGGTGAGTGTAGGGCGGCGTATAGCCGCGTACTCCCATAGAGAAGGACAGGGGCTGCGTACATACAGCCGTGCACACAGCACGGAGCTTTATATGCCGGTCTTTTCTCCTGTGAATGAGGCCTTACTTTTGTGCTGTAGCAAAGTCGATGGCACTATATAACTAAAATTATTCATAATGAAAGCAAATCCAATAATAATAATGAGCCAAAATGACTTTTAAATTAGAGATATAACTGATCGTACCTTGAAGGACTTACTGTTCCCTTCCTTCGTGTTTCATTTTATTGTAGTGATGAGTTATTTATGATCTGTATTGTAGACGATGTGTCCTGACGTGTTTCGGGGTATATGGGGCGGAAGTCATTGCAGGGATTCCCCAGTGCAGACCACGCGAACCTGCTCATGTTCTCCTGGTAAGAGCTGATTCCTGATTGGCTGTTTTTTTAATCAATGAAAGGTGTGTATATACACACTGGAAGTGGATTCCTCTTGAGCTGTGTGAAAGCCTTTATGTTGGGGTGAGTGATTGGAACTATTCATGACGTGGCTCTAGATAGTAAACTCTTGTGTCTGTCAAAATTTGCCAATGCTCAGACCTATTTATGAACAAATAGGACCCAATTACACCTCTGTGTTACTGTAACATGCAGTACAATGCACATGTTGCCACAAAGCACAGCAATGTGCATGCTGTGTCATGGTGTCATATGTTTGAATGGCAGTGGGCATTTGCACTGAAGAGCACCACAACACACTGGGTGTGGCTTTTCGGTGCCTTGTGTTTTGGAAAAATGGAGCGTGTCCATTTTCCCTGCATTGTAGTGTGTTGGCAGCCCATTGAAAATGAATGGGCTGTCTTTGGGCAATGCATGGCACATCTCAAAACAGCAATAATCTGATAGTGTAATCAGGGCTGTCCCTATAATGAGGTAGCATCTCAAAGGGTCATGTGGGGCACACTTGCCACCACCTTTCCGGCCAGAGTGTCTGAGGTTGAGCTCTCAGCAACCTGTGATACTCTGACTGGCATTCCATACAGCTCCTGGCAACCAGACAGAACTACTGTGTAACCTGTCCCATAACTTGCGCCTCCAACCCAACAAACCCACCCTCAGGCTCCCCTAACACCCTCCCCCCGAAGTGTAATAATGCCTAAATTAAAATGAAAACTAAATAAAAAAACATAAACAGGATTTTTTTTACTCTGATGTGATGAAATTTCATCTAGAAATAATGGTCCATCTACATCCCAAACTACGTGTTTTGTCTCCTCAAAGATGCATAGATATAGATCATAATTTTCATTACACCCGTCGCTATCTCTTCAGTGCTCAAACATTGGTTTAGTTTTTGTTAGGTGATCCAGGTAACAAATGAGCTGCAACATAAAGGTTGCCATCTGAAGAAAGTCACCCCTTACTATGACCCCAGAGCTGACTGTAATGGCTGCATGGAGAGCGGCTGGATTTCTTTAAGGAATTACTTTATAAAGCCCCCATCAGAGGCTGTTATATGGAATGTAGTAGGGATGCACAGATACTTTTCGAGTACCAGTGCAGATACTTGGCATTTTCATGAGAACTCCCAGGGTTGCAGGGGTTGCAGCTGGGACCTGGCTCTGGCGCTCCACCTCTGTCCTGAAATCATTAGTCTGTATTGTTTTAGAAAAATTGTCACATGACAATAAACAAAAATGTATCAGTACTCGTACTTGTAAGTACTCGGCAAGTACCAGTACTTGTACTCGCAAAACTGATATCGGTGCATCCCTTTATTTATATTTATAAAAACAAAATCGTACATTAAAACAGAGCTGTACAAATCCCAGGAGCTCCGTGTGCTCCTTACAAATGACAGCGGCCTCCTAATTTTTGAATTTGTCTCTAGTGTAGTCTTGGAGCTCAAAAGTATCGGTACATGTACTCGTACTTGTACCGAGTACTGTACTTGGTATCTGTGCAACCCTAGAATGTAGTTCAATTTCCATTCAAATCCTGCCTCACCACCTCTGCTTTTCTCAGGTTCCTGTGATGCCAAAGACAGATATATTGAGCAGCTTAAGGAAACTCTGGACACCAGCGCTGCAAAGAAACTGGCTGCCTTCATTGCTGAACCCATAATGGTAACTTGACAGCTTCACTTGGAATATAAGATCCGGCCTGTTACTTCTTTTCACATAAGACAGCAATGTCCTAAGAACACCACAAAGATATTTGGATAGAGGAGGTTATAGTGTGTTCAGCTTTTAAAAACACAATGGGGCAATGTGGGCCCATTCCATGGATGGGCAATTCTGAATAGTGCGGGTAATATAAAGAGCAGAAGTGCACATGATGGGGGACAGTACAAAGTGGAGTGAATTGGTACAGAGGCAGCAGACAACAGTGAGAGAACAGGGGGCAAGTTTGCAAATAAAATCTTTCAAAATCAAAAATGACAAATATGCTGCAATCTGTAACTAGCATTAACGCTGAACTCTGGGGAACTGAAACAAAACCCTTCCTAGGACAGGGAGTGTGAAAATAAAGGAAAAATAAACCTGAAGCAAAGCAAATGAATGCAGCCACCACATCTAAGGCTCCATTCACACATAGAGGTAGCGTTTTCTGAGTGGTTTTTAGCACGGAAAACCGCGTGGAACGAACCTGCGCAAACTTTAACACGCGCGGATTCCGCATGTTTGCGGCTATTACTATAGCCGGAATGTGCGGAATCCGCCATAAAATCGTGCGTGTACGATTTTTGTGGGATGCACGGTTTCGTACCATGCGGCTGCCGCAAACGTCTGAACAATGCACATTACAGTGCATTGTTTTTTATGTTTAGAGCCGTACGAATTCGATGGACAACTGCTCCTGTGTGAATGGAGCCTAAGGACTAGTAAGCTGCAATATATTATACATTTGTACTTGTGATTTTACGCACACATAAAGCAAAGTCTTTTATTTTATTCTGTATCACTTTTCAGAATATAACTATAGACATACAAAGTGTCTGGATGTGTTTTGCAGGGCGTTGGGGGAGCCGTTCAGTATCCCAGGAACTTTTTAAAGGAGGCTTATGAACTTATACGGGAGAGAGGAGGCCTGTGCATTGCAGATGAAGTAAGTATTCTTGTTTTTCTACCATTTTATTTGCTGCACAATCTATGCATAAACAGCCTATAACTCCATAATATGTCACTATACTATGTATATAGGGTTGTGTGTTGAATCTATTATTACTATTATTATTACTTTACAATCTTTGCACCTACGACTGTACCCTAATGCATGCCCAAAAGACTATCATCAATACTGCAGATGATACTACCCTGTTTCCCTGAAAATAAGACCTAGTACTATTTATGGGAATTGCTAAAATATAAGACCTTCCCCTGAAAATAAGACTTAGTTGTGACCATTACTAGGACCGGTGGTGGCATAAGGGGGAACTTGAAGAGCCGTGGGAGAGGCAGGAGAGAATCAGCGGTGCCAACGAAGCCAGCGCTAGAGGAGGCGAGGCGACACCGGAGGGAGCAGAGCCGCAAAAGCCAATGCCTCCTCTATAGCGCCAGTTCCTGTCACAGGCGGAGTGATACCAAATGCACTCCGCCTGTGAGGAATGATAGTGAAAGCGTGGATTGTTGTACATAAAAAAAAAAAAAATAAGACCTACCCCAAAAATAAGACCTAGTGGGGGTTTTTTTGAGCCAAAAAAAATATAAGACAGTGTCTTATTTTCGGGGAAACACGGTAGGATGGTTGGTCTTATAACGGAGGGATGTGAGTTGGGCTTTAGGGAAGGGGTTCAGAAATTGACAGTATGGTGTTCATTTAATAATTTGACAATAAACATAGGAAAAAGAAAATGACCTTATAGATTTTAGGAAGCATAATGCTCAATTCACAAAGCTTTAACACAAGGATAAGAATCTCTAATTTAGCAACATGACTGTAATTTTCACATCTCGTTGGGCTGAAAATAACTGTCACGTTTATTGAAAATAAGTATCCTCATCCCGGTGTGTTGGTTTTGTGAATTGAGCCTAAAGTGTAGTTTTATTCCCATTCTACATTCATAGGGATTGTGCGGAGAGGGTTACTATCTTTACATTTTTAGGATCTTATATTTCTCAGGACTTACCCTGGTGTGCAGTTATTAAAAAAGCACAGCAGCAAATTCAACTTCCACAAGTACTAAAAGAGGTCTGGAAGAAAAACTGCTGCTGTCTTTTTACTGATCTCCCATTGGGATTGTACTGACTACAGTCCTATCGTGGTGGTATGCAAGGTGTTCAGCATCAGACAGGAGTGTTTCTCAGAATATTATTGGTTGTCAGCTGTCTTTCTGAATGATATTTTTAGCTCTTGTTGACTACAGAGAGTAAAAAACATTTTTTTGCCATCTTATAGGTGCTACAAGAATAATAAGATTCGGACAAATTTGGAGATAGTTTATTTTCTCGGGCTATATATGCATTAAATGCTAGTAAAAATTGAATGACTTCAACCAACCAACCTACACACACTTTTTTTTATATATGGTGACTAGTTAGTGAGTAGAGCTGGCCATACACTGCTCTATTTTTTCGCTCAACCTGCAGGCTGAACGGAAAAATAGAACATATTCCTCCATCAACTCCACAAGCGTATTAATTGTTTCTTCTGTATGCTGACAGCGGCCACTGGCTCATTGGCTGCCAGATCTGTTCGTTCGAAGATCTTACGACCGGCTCCTTTGATCAGCTGATCGAGGGATACTGGCTAAAAGGGTGCCCACAGCGGTACCCACTGTGCAAATTTCAGACAGTTCCTGAAGAACTGTCCGAAATTCGCATAATGTATGGCCAGCTTAAAGTTGGCCATACACTATATGAATCACAAGATGGAGGAAAAAACTGTACGGACACGGATGTCACAGTGGTGACATCCGCTCCGTACTGCTGTGATCAGGAGAGGACCCATGCATGGATCCTCTCCTGATCAGCCCGTGTGAAAGGGGCCTTAGTCTTCTGTGCATAGAACAAGTAGTTGGATGAGAAGACCTGGCTTGCATTCTGGGTTCCAGTTTATCCCAAAGGTGTTCAGTAGGATTGAGGTCAGCCACTTTAGATCCTCCACAACAAACTCATCAAACCATGTCTTTACGAAGTTGGCTTTTTACACAGGGGACAGTCATGCTGGAACAGAAAAGGGCCTTCACCAAACTGTTGCCACAAGGTTGGAGAAGTGGCTCTACGATTAAGCCCCAGCAGAGGGTGAAATGTGAGGGAGGCGTGGGTGGAATGTCCTCATTAGCTGTATCAATAAAGTTGTTTTGAGCTACTTGGACGGCTACTTGTGTGGCTTCACGTTTGTTTTAGTTGTAGTCTTTTCAGAGTGATGGCTCTTGGAGGCAGGTGGCACCTGCGAACCTGTAAGCGCTGCTGTGAGTTTGTGAGCACTGTTGGTAGAGCAGTTATATAAAACAAGGATAGCCAAAGTTCGGACCTACAGTTGTGCTGAGACTACAAATCCCATAATTCCTCTGCTTCTGGAAGTCATGCCTGTGGCTTTCAAAGTCTTGCAATGCCTAATGGGACTTCCACAACAGCTGGAGGACTGAAGTTTGGCTACCTCTGAAAATATCTTTGTATGCTGCAGCAGGTGGAATATTTTAGAACTGATGGTCCAACAATGAAAAAAAGAATATTTCATAGAATTTTCGTTTTTATTTCTGAATCAAATAAATGAATGATGTACAAACCTTCTTTAATAAGGATGGCGGTGTCCCTCTTGCAGGTTCAGACTGGCTTTGGCAGGACAGGGAGCCATTACTGGGGATTTCAGACTCATGATGTTATCCCCGATATTGTGACTATGGCGAAGGGTATTGGCAATGGATTTCCTATGGCTGCCGTTGTCACCACAGAAGGTTAGAAAACCATTATTATAATAGATACGTTTAGAAGAGTTTATCACAGCTGTCATAGGCGTCAGCTCACTAAATGATAAGACATCCAGTCATATCCCCACTGGGTGCTATCTGTGACATTTCATCAAAGATTACAAGGTTTTCTCACACAGGTTTATTGTTTCTTACTTTGTCTGGTGATATTATGGATTTAAGCAACAAGATTGCTCTTGGTTTAAAGACATTATGAATGTATTGTTATCTGTATACTGTATAACAGTCTGTTAGCAAAAATGTATCTTTTTTTTCTGTACCTGTTATTTGAGGTTGGTATACCAATACAAGTTGTTGTGTCAGCATGGTGAGAGTGAGCCTGTGTTTTGCTCATGTATAAACTGGACATCATTTTAAAGATCTGAGCCGTTTGGGCAATGTAGCTAGACACAATGGGAGTTGATTTACTAAATCCAAATAAACTGTTCACTTTGCAGGGGAATTTGCACTTTGCAAGGAAATTAGGTGAAACTCTGTTGACTTCCATCATCCAATCCAATCATATGCAAGCAAAAATAATGTTTTTTTCAATTTTCCTTGCTTGTGATTGGGTATTCTCTCCAAAATGCACATTAACCACCCTAGAGATAACTCCACTGGCTTTCTGGTCATTCCAAAACATTTGCCAAACAGGACAGCCAGTAAGGCAGGTGCAAGGTCATATAGGAGGGGTTGCACCATCCAACAGACCACAGGACATGGCCACACCTTAATAAACACCTTAGGAGGTGCAGTCTCCAAAGAACACAAGTTTGAAATTTATGAAAAGATCATCAACAATCTATCATATCAGATTCAATATTCTTAACACATTGAAGCTGAGGTGATAGATTACCAATGACCTTTTCATATACGTATGAGTCCTGATGTATGTATTGTCCCTCGGACTAGTTGGCATGCACATTGCAAGGCAGCATCTCCCACAACAAAGTCTCTCACCATCCCCTTTGCCTTTCCCTCAGTAATCCCGGCAAGAACATGGTCCCTGATCCATATTTTTCCCAAGCGGGACCTTTTCTTCTTCACTTCATGTAGGGCCTATTTGTGTCCCCAAAGATCAGGTTTCCAATGTCTGACTGCAGAACTCCACCCATGCCCAGCAACCTTAGGTGCCCTTTATCTCAACTGGAGGAGAATTCCCTCCAATTATAAAAAAGAACTTCAGCTGCAAAGGGCTCATAATATTGGAATCCCTCTTTACATGTACTGTATATGCCCATTCTGACCACGGTTTTATCATCCTGTAGCAGCTTGTTCTATTCCAACATCAGTATTTCAGTCACAAGATATGCACCATTCCCTATCAATAATGGGCAGCCTGTACCTAGCTCAACACATATGCCCAAGTCAGCCATTATTCTTTTTGGCTTGACCCACCACATATCCACTGAATAGAATACAGGCTTAAAAAGAACAGGCCCTGCAAGATGAAGATGATGAAGAAGGCTTCCTGGCAATGGGTTACATCTGAGTCTGCAAATGCATTTACTAATTTCAGTTAAATTATTTCATTTAAATTATTTTTTTAAATCTCATTGAAATTAATAATGAGACAGGCTCATAGTGGATTTAATGCTTCCATACATTCATCATTGTAGGTAAGGGTAAGCTGAAAACATGGCGCTGAGTTTGAAGAAGAGTGAGGAAGGAAGTATTAATTCTTGATATATACCAAATTCTTATTTAAATCAGATCATCCCGCTGACCATATCTTTCTTTTGCAGAGATTGCAAGCTCTTTTACCCAGGCCTTGTACTTCAACACCTTTGGTGGCAATCCTATGGCATGTTCTGTAGGCTCTGCTGTACTGGATGTAAGTTTGCTGCTCATATCATTAGACATGAATTTTAACCAGTGCTGTACATGCAATGCAAGATGAGCGCATGGTATTTAGAGGAGGATTATAGTAAAGATATATACGGATGAAGCCATAATGGTTCAGCAGATTCATTCTCCTGCAGAGTAGTAATTTGACTATACACGCCGCTCCATGTTTTCTATAGCAGTATGGAAAAGAGTGAAGAGGCATAATCTGTCTTGGCTCAGTAGTTTAATTATCTCACATGATCAAGGTTGTGATTATTTCCAGCCCAGAAAAGAACCACCATAAAATATGGCAAGTCTTTGCCTACATGGAGTCATAAAACAGCCATATTGGTACTGTATACAGCGACTGCAACCTGCTGTACTAATTATTTGTAACACTATTGGAGGCCCTCACACCTATCTATTGCAAGGTCTCAGTTGCTAACTCTCCCCCTCTTCTAAGTCACTGGCTATGTGGCTTTAAGGTTAGAGGACCCAGTGTGCAGGGGGCAGAATTGTCAATAGCATATGAATGTTCCGACTGCGCACCTGAGCCCATCTTTATGGGTGCTGCAGCAACATGCAGATGGCAATGCATTTAATCCAAGTAAGAAATATGGCACCAGCACACCAGGGGGCTCAGTTATAAAAAAAAAAAACATGGGACCGATGCCATGCACATGGTACTAGCACACCTAGATGGTACTGATGAATTTCCTATAGTAATCAGCGCCATCTAGGGGCACTAGGTGGCAACCATCCAGCGTCTTTTATAATTGAGGCCAAGGCCCCTGGTGTGCTCATGCCATATTTATTACTAGATTTTCCAATAGGACAAAGTCTAGGGTTCTGTTGCTGTTTATACATGTCTGCTCCAAAGCATTGAATTTAACGTACGCGTTAAGGCACCCCATTAGTGCACTGTTTTCTAGCATTGACGCTACTCCCAATGGGCATTATTGAGAAAGCATTGGAAAAAACTGTCTCCTATGATTCCAAGCTGTGCATCCTCACTCATACCGCCTGCCAGAACAGGCACCTGCATGAAGGCAACTGCCTTTCTTCCTCCCTTCTCTATCATATGACTGAAGAGACAGCAAGAGGGAGCAGTTATACTTCCCACTGAAGACCCATTAAGACAGGAAGTCTGAAAAGTAAGTGGTGAAGGGAATATCTCTGTATGTAGCCCCCAGCAGTGACACCCCCC